CCTTTTAAAAAAAATTCAAATTTTAAGTCATTTTCCCTACAGAGACCGACGCGTATAGGATGCGCCACCCTGTATGTTTTTTGATCATAATTACACAAGAATTTTTTTATCCGGTGAATTTACTAACGAAAAGCACTGCCGCCTTTCAAAATCACTACTCCGTAGGTGGGCCGATTTGGTGGTGACAGTTTTTCGAGTCAAATTGCTTTCAGACACAAAGTTCGAGTTAAGAAAATCGAAATTTCTTCAAACTTAAAAAAAAAAGTGTAATTTTGAAAGATAATTTTGCGACCAATTCATATGTAAAACGTCAAAGATAGACCAGTCGAATTAACTCGTTAAATAAAAAAAAATTAACAGGTCTTTGATAAGTGTAAATGATAGAGGGGCTTATAATAAATAAATAAATAAAATTTTATGTGAATGGTATTATCGCGAAAATTTATAATGCAAAAGTTGTAAATCAAACAAAAATCTACAACTTTTGTAGAGGTCACTTTTTAACATAACCTCAAAATTTTCGATAAAAATGAAAAAGTTCGTTCGGATTTTTGTTTTTTTATTTTTCCTTTTTTCAAAATTAATTGAATTTTGATTAAATTTTGTGAAATTATACCTTTGTGTGTCTTAAATAAGTTAAAAAAAAAATTAAATAAAAAATCCTAAAAGTTTCTAGATATTAATTTTTTTCGGTCAAAAACACAAATTTTTTATAAAAAAATTCTACGGTGAAAAATTATCGTACAAAGTTCTTCAGGTACTCATTTTTTTCGTTTTGACATTTAATTTTTCATAAAATTAAAAAAAATATGGTCACGATTAAAAAACATGCTCAAAAATGGGTAAAAACAAAAAATGACATTGGCAACAATGAATTATTCCTTAATTATTTATATAATTTGTTTCAATTAAAAAAAAAAAATAAAATAAAAAACTGATTGCATCATTCAATTGTATGAAAAAAATATAAAAGCAACTGTTATTTATTTTTTGTATACAGGGTGAGCACTTTAACTGGAACTCATTCGCTAAGCCGTAGGATAAAATATTTGGATAAAACGCAAAAACAGGTATTTTTTTTGTGGGATTTCCATTTATATTACAAAAAAAAATTTCACCGCTTTTAATGGGTGAAACCTAACCCCACTTAATTTTTTGTTCGAAAGATCTTTTTTTACCATTTTAATTTTCTTTAATTTTTTGCTAAAATTATATACAGGGTATTGCATTTCAAAAAATTTACTAAATTGAACTTGAAATTATCCATATTTAAAACATGTTTCAAAACACTCTATATAAAATGAACCAGTTCTATCACCACTATTCTAGCTCAGTATCTTATCCAGTCTAAACAATTTTAAAATCAATGTTAACCTACCTAAATTATGGTAATTTATTTTGGGGTCTGCATCGTTCTAATTTAATTAAAATAAATTAATTGCTTGGCAGACCTGTTGAATACAGCATTTCGAAACCATTTTAAAACTCAAATAAAATACAGGATGTTCAATTTAAAAAAATATATACATTTTTATTTGCCATCCAACAACGTAACACCCTGTATATTCAAAAATATTTTTAAATTACGCATTAATGGGACACCCTGTATAAAAGAACAAAGATATATTTTCCATATACATTTAAGAAAAATCTCATTGAAAAGGCCTTTTCCGATTAGTACGCCAGCTTATTTACAATTAATCTAACAGTTTTATAGTAAATCATTAAATATAAATCTACAAATAATTTACTGTAAATACCCACGTTTTTAATGTTTAAATGTGTGTACACCAAAGAGGTTAGAAAGGGGTGTACACCTATGCGATGAACATGTCTCCGACTTAAATCTCCAAAATAATGAATGAAAAACCAGATTTACTACTGCCAGGTTTCTTACTGCCCGGTGGTTAGATTTCACATTTTGTATGATGCATTACTACTGTTAAGAACTCAGTAAACTTGGCTGCACTGTTCAATGAGAATATTGCATTTCTGCCAAGGACACTTAAATTGTGAATTCAGAAATTTTGTAAACAATCCTAACTTTCTTGGTTATACAGGGTGGCTCACGCTCAACGGGACGGAGCTTTATGGGAAAACGACCAAAGATATAAAAAATTCGTTTGGGAGGAATACGTAGGTTACAGACGGCTACAATTTAAAATTTGTTATATGTATACAGGATGTCCCACATAAGAGAAAATATACAAAGTTATATTATTTTTAATGGAACACCCTGTTTTTTATTTTAGAATTAAAAACTACATCAAAAATAATGTCAGTTAACTAAAGGTTCCCTATTACTATTATTATTAGTTTTCGATTTATTTGAATTTTTAAGGAAAAAAAGTCTCCCAGAAATTAATTGTTTACTCTTGTTTGAATAATTTTTAATGAACTAATTTTTTTTTTCTTATGTGGGACATCCTGTATACATCTAACAAATTTTAAATTGTAGCCGTCTGTAACCTACGTATTCCTCCCAAACGAATTTTTTATATCTTTGGTCGTTTTCCCATATAGCTCCGTCCCGTTGAGCGTGAGCCACCCTGTATATCTATGGTACCAGCCTTTAGAATTAGTATGTTTACCAAAAAGGATTTGAATTGAGAACAAAACTTATCAGAAGTAATATGACTTGTTCTTTTTTTAAACAATCTTACCGGTCAAATGTATTCGTTTGATTAATTTCTTGTCGTCCACTTAGTATCCGCACATTTCTTCCACTCAAGTTTTTGTTAAAATGGAATTATATTCAGGTATGTTGGTGCTAGATCCTTCACTTCTCTTCTTTTTTGCAACTTCGGTTAATTTTCCTTCCATAGATTAGCCATTCTCACATCATTTTTCTTTTTCTGGAATGCATTGAAGTTGTCTGTGTATTGAATTTCTCGAATCGTAAGCTTCTTTAAAAACTGTATCAGTCAACGGATCAAATATTATTTGAAATGCATTATATTTTTCTTGGACCATTTTTGTTGTAGAATTCCAAATAGTGTTTACAGCATATTCTTTGTAATCATCGCCGTTTATTTTGTACATATTGAAGCCCCAATCTTGCAGAATGTTGGCAATTTCAGATATTGCAGTCTCTTTTAACAATAAATAGTAACGTACCGAACAAAATGACCTAAACTGCCTTCATAACATTACCAAATCGATTCATTTTTATGGTAATAATAACGGTCGAAAGCGTCTATTTTATTGACTTTGCAAAATTGTTTGCGGTTGTCATAGAAACGACTGATCCACAACTAAGTGACGTATAAAGAAAAGCCAGTTTTATCTCTGTAGAAAAACGATGCACCCTTTTTATCGATGTCACAGTGACGAATTAATTTTGATTTATGGCATATTTATACAAGAAAAGAATGATCAAAATGAAGATTGCTTTTATCGGGAATTGAACCGCAGTATCGTAATCAAAATTTGAAAGCTTACTAACTGAGCCATGAAGGCTTAATATCAAACTAATTGTTCAATAAAATAAGTGTATTAAACCAGAAAAACAATTTAACCCTTTGTATCACGAATTAAGAAAAACCACTGTAAAATGCTTCAGCATAAAATGTTACCAAAAAGGTACTTTAACTTTTTTGATTTTTTTTTATTTTTAGACATAGCAACCACTATGACGGTATGTCCAACATTCCTATGTATATCTTTAAACAGAATAAAACAATTTTTATATTCATTAAGTTAAAAAACAATTTTTTGAAAAGTGGACTTCTTTTTCCTAACCTGAATTGTTTTATCGTTATTGGATTTCTGCCTAATTTAGCACAGTTATAGGAGAATATTATATAAATTCGTTAAAAATCGAAGAGGCTAGCCGCGAGATTAGTGTGCATCCACGTTCTTGCAACAGTTAAGCAGTGGGGCCTCTGGTCACGTCATGAATGAGTGAACATGAGACTTAGTCGACTTTCGTTTAACTATTATTGATAAAGGGAAATGAATGACGGTGAATGAGTGAGTGAATAGGAAAGTATTCAAGCAGTTATAGGTAAATTATCCTCTTTATCTTCAGTGCCAGCAATAACTGCCTCTCCATTTTCTATATAGTTATTATGGTCGTGATGGTCTGTATTCGGTGAAATAGTTGGATCACCGTTACTTGGACATCCAGGTTTTACTTATTATCTTAAGATTCCGTTCCAAAGGGAATTTCATCAAATTCTTCCCATAATTCTTCTACTATTTTCAACTGCTTTTCATAAGTTGACAAAAATACAATTAGGTACTATTGCCATAGTGGTTTCATAGTGAAACCATCGATATTTTTTAATTATTAAGTGAGGATTGAGAAAAATATTTGAGTATACTATTACAGTAGGCATATAAATGCCTTTATGAATAACTGCAAACAATAGAGAGCGTACAGAATATTTATTTTAATCAATAAACGTCAAAAATTTTCAAAATTTATCACGTGGCGTCTTTCTTTGTTGACAGATTTATAAATGAACGGTTAGTTAGGAAGCTGAATACAAAACACCAAAACTATTGCTAACGTAAATATTAAACCTAAATTCGATATATTAATATCAAATCTATTTAAAATTGATTAAAATAGGTGGTTACATGGTGTAACCACTGTGGCTCAAAGGGTTAAATAATTTAATCAGCAAATCGATTTTACTATTAATATAGACATTATAAAAATCAAAATAGAAATGATGTATCTGACATATTTGACAGCTGATGCGGATAGTAGATTCTTATCCACACGCGTGTGATATAGTTAACTTTCCATAAGACTAAGACAGTTCAATATGTGTCACTTTCCTATGTGGTCGTAGGAAAAAAGTTTTTTTATCTTTCAATACAATTTTGCAAAAACCGGCATTAGTTAATACCGGAAAATATAAATCACGTATTTAAATAATTCAACAAATGCCTCCTTCATTTTATCAAAGTGCATATTTCGCACCTACCTACATCAAATTCCACCACCTGTTGTCGACACATTGAGAATTTACATTCGATTTTTGTTGCAGAACACATACACCAACGCGGATAAACTTCTTGCGGCAGCTGAAGAACTCGCCCATACGGGCGAATGCGATCCAGATGAGATTTATTCGGTAGCTCACGAGCTGGAGGCTCACGTGACTTCTTTCGCAGCTCGGGTGGAACAGAGGAGGCGTCGACTCGATTTGGCCGTACTGTTTTATACCCACGAAAAGGATCTGAGCAATTGGGTGGACGATCTCAGGCAGGAATTGCAGGTAAGGAGAAATGTAGAAATTAGATGTATACAGCATGATGCAAAATAATGGAATTCATTCATTATTTCAAAAATCCTAAAATACGCCACCATCAGTGATTTTATGAATACAATCAGCGTTCATGAGACACCTAATTTGAAAGGTGTCTTAATTTTCTATCCAACGTTATAATTATTCGAATATTTATTTGTACAGGGTCTACCAAAATTATGTATTTACTTAAACAGAATAAAATTACAATAAATGCTCATTCATAGAAATAAATTATGTCAAGGACCGCCACTGTGAATAAAACATAGTGTTTACTACTGTTTTTACTATTTTTAGTTGTTCAGAAAAAAATAATACATTGACTATATTCTAATTTAAAATTAATTGACAAGGTAGTAATCGTGCCTGTGAAATTATTTTCATAAAAAATATTTAAATCCGTATAATCTATCAATGAAGCCTACAGAAACCGAAATTGAAACTAATCGAAATTTTAACATTATTGGCCGTGGAAATAAAGTAGAGTGGTAGAAAATCAATTCCCCAAGCCAAAAAATTTGACATGGTACTTGTGCGTTTCAAGAAAATCCCTATACCAACTCGAAACAAGTCGCACTGGATAATAATTATACCAGAGTTCTAAAAAAGGAAAAGAGGTATCCGTACAAGGTACATCTGGTCCAAAAGCTATTAAAATAATATTTTTATAAAATAATCGAATTTTGCGAAGCCACTATAGAACGAAGCAACAGAAAGCGGGAGTTTCATAAAATAGGTACTTTTTTCAGATGAAACTATTTTATGCTCAACGTGTCGATACCGGCCAAGTCAAAAATCACATTGGATGAAGGCGTATAGAACGCAATATCCAGAAAATGTTCAAGTTTGGGCCGAAATTTTAAACAAAGAGATTATAGGGTCATACTTTCTTGAGAAAATTTAACTAGTTCTCGGTATCTAGAATTTCTTCAAGGTCATCTGTTTCCAAATCTGAATCAGCTATTTCTAAATAAAAATGAATTGTGGTTCCACTAGAATTAGGCGCCCTTGATGTACGATCCTACTTAAATACCATTTTCCTAAGGAGGTGAATATAGAGGCGATGATCGATCGAATGACCACGAGGTGTCCATATTTGATCTCGTTGACTTTTTTGTAGTGATACTTGAAGAACCAAGTTTACCATAGTCAACCAAATAATTTAGAAATAACTCTTGAAGTTCTCAAAAACAGAGAAGAGTTAAACCATGAAGAATTTGTGAACTGTGTGTCACAAAGGTTTTTGGAAACTATTATTTAAACTCGCAGGACCATTATTTTTTGATTAACGCCGACTTCTCTTCTGATTAAGGATTGAAACACCGGTTTTGAATTCAGTAAACATTATTTTGCGTTATTCCCTTACTAATCTCTTTGGAAAGAGTCCACATCAAATCTAATTTCGCATACAGAAAAGTGTTTGATATATTCATATATCTTTCCAAAATTTATGAATTGTAATTTAAAGTGAAATCGACAATGTAAAAAATGTTTTGATTTTATCGTTTGAGGTTTGAAGAGAAAATGAATAATATAAAATACAACGCTTTGGTTAGATTGTCTTAAAAGTAAAACTAATTTCTTAACATGATAGATTTTGTTTACCCAAGTTTGGTTCACGAATCAAATTATATTTTTAGAACGGGACATAATCAGAAATTAACGTATTAGGAACATTTTAGCAATTGGAAAAATGATAGAAAACTAGTAAGTTGAGACATGTTCATTGATAAAACATTCAACTAGTAAATCAGGCTAGGGAAGATATGGTGGAACACAATTGCCCTGTAAATGGGACGGTTAGAATGATTTCACCCAGGCATTTACCATCGGGGTGGTAGAAACCCACTAAATGGCCACTTCCCAAAAATGGGACATCTAGAGACACCTCTCGGCTACGTTATTAACCTGCAGGGCTTTGACCTGGAAGTCTGGCTATCCCACTCCCGAGTTACAACCCGCAGGTTTTTGATGAGTTGATAACCTGCAGGACTTTGACAAGCTGAGAAGATGGCTGTCTGTAGACACCACTCAGCGTCAACCAGCAGGTTTTTGGCAAGTTGTTAACCTGTAGGACTTTGATGAGCTAGGAAGATGGCTGTCTCTAGACACCTTTCAGCGGCAACCAGTAAGTTTTGACAAGTTGAAAGGCAGGTTCTGTATGCCCCTGGAAAATGCACAATGGGTCTTATGAGACCTAAGTGCTGTGGAGAAATCCACCCTCCTCACCTTACAGATACATATAGTGGAACACAATCAATCTTAATATGAAACAAAGACTAACTGAAATGGAAATGGCGCATAATAGGGCAACGTGAAAGAGAAAAATACACATAATCAGTAATGTTGTTATATTTCTGATATTTGTTTACACATAAACATAAAAGTCGCTACAATTAGGTTTTTAACGTGATAAAATCGAATAATCTATAATTTTTTGGTGTATCGCATAGTAGTGCTGGTTCCAGGGCCGGCGAGAGTGGGGGTAGCCGCGACAAATTCCCGGGGTCCGGACTGAAGTGGGGGCCCAGCAGCGGCATAAGGGGGGCCCGACAGCATGACGTCTTTTGTCTTATATTTTTGTTTTAGAAGTTCGCCACTAGAGCACAAGAAAGAGGACTTTTTTTAGAGATTTTACTAAAGAGAAGAAGTGTTTGCTTGAAAACCTTTTTTTTTGAAATGTGATATTGAAAGGGCTTATTTTTTTTTATAAAATTGTCCCGGGCCCGACGTGGAAAATTGTCCTGAGGCCCGACCTGGCTCTCGGCGGCCCTGGCTGGTTCCAAAATGTCCACAGTTATGTCTGAAAAGTAGACATGTCTAAAAAAATGTGCATATGCGCGAAATTTTATTACATAAGTAGACTGAATTTCTTGTAAACAAATACAAAATTTAGTTTAAAAAAGAAGAAACAACAAATGACTAATAATTTTTATATGTTTTAAGGATTTTTCTATTAGTGTTTGAGAAATAGGCTCCAAAGGAACAAATTTAATATTATAGAGTAAGATCCCAGAGCGATAAGACATAACTTATTTTCTCAAAGATGAAACCTTAAGTTCTCAGTAGCGTCTCATGTGCTTTGAATACCTGCGTGCTTGTGAAGCTTGCCCTGTGACACCTGGGCAGGTACCAAATGTGAAAGGTAACCAAAAATAAGAGTTACTTAACTTAAATTTGTATGGCTGATTTTTAGATATATTTTTATAGAATATTATTCTCAAGTAGTATCGTAAGTGCCAGACACTTTCCATGGACCAAAACTTTTGTCAGGCGCTTTAAAGCTCCACAAAAAAATAAATGAACTTTAACTGACTTTTAAATGTCTTATTTTTAAATATGTTATCAAGATAACTATTACAAAATTATATTTAATCAGTCAGACAAATTGTAATGACCAAAAATCCCCTAAACACAAAAATTGTACGAGTACGAGCGCGAGAGCACTATGGGCATGCATTTCAGAGCAAATAATTTAAATATTTAAAAAAGTACTTACTGCTTTCGGTTAAATATTTTTGCATCTCTATTTAAATAAGATGAATTTCAACATTAAGGTAATAATGAATAATTATTAAGGTAAATTAATTTATTGCATATATTCGGTAAATTAATTTTTTTTTCGAAGTAATTGTGTTTTATAAAAACTTATTTTTATCTTTTTTTGCCAAAGATAGCAGTTTTGACATTTTTAAGAAAAAATAATTTTAATAAAAAAAAAATTAACTATGGTTAGTAAGTGAAAGTATTTGATTGTCCTTAATCATCGTGATCATCATCAAAATAATCATTACAATTTTCATCATTGAGCCAGTCATATTGTCCATTCGAGTCATCATCCTCATCATCATCAGTTATGTTGTCGTTGCTCTCATAGACCCAAACCACAGTTTATAGCTAAAGAATCAGTTCGCTCACTCTGCGTCGGCACTTTTGATCTCAATGTTCCAGTTGATACATTGCGCAACTCGGATTTGTATCCCTGGCGCAAACAGTATCAAATCATAATAGCCCAAGAGCCCACTGCAAATTTTTACCGCCATCTGATAATGAAATAAAATATACCTCAAAAGCTTGTAAAAACATTGTACTTTACCGAATGGCACCTGTGCCAATCCCAATTCTGAGCAAAGTCGTTAAAAAAAAAATTATATTAAAAAAATCACACAAGGCATGACGGCGCTAATTTTGTTTACCCTTAGAGTTTTCCAGATAATAACATATTCAAATATATCTTGATATGTATCGTTAACGGGAAACATTTTCTTCCTCTTAACATCGCACAAAATCATCTACACACGATTAGTAGGTAAAAATCATTAAAAATATGAATCGATTTTTCCTGATTTAAAAATTTATTTGTATGTCTATTGTTGTGATTAAATTTTACAGGTTTCCATAGACAAAAACTACTATGATCATGGTTTAAAAGAATTGTCTAACAAGAGTTTATATTTATTATTGACTATCTCTGCAAAAGGTAGGTAAAAATATTAATAATTCAGGTTTAAAAGCTAGATTCACAATGAATTAGGATTGTAATTTTCAGGGAAAACACAATTATCGCTGTCATGTCTTATGTGATTTTTTTGAATATAAAATAATTTTTTTTAACCATTTTGCTCAGGATTAGAGATTGGCACAGGTGCAATTTGGTAAAGTACAATGTTGTTACATGTCTTTGGAGCATATTTCATTTTGTTATCAGATGGCGGTCGTAATTTGCAGTGGGCTTTCTTACTTTAACCAACTAGGCATTGCATCGACCTGTCAAACAATAGCTGTCAGTAAGAAAGTCTGGTATATCTAAGGGGGTAGAGACATAGTCTTGCATCTTGAACGCTTTTTTTTTATTCGAAATAATAGTCACCAAGCATGTCAATTTATGAAAAATGTATATTATTTTTATTATTATTTTTATTGTGTTTGACATTAAATATTTAAATGTAATCCATTATTCATGATTTTACGTATTGTAAACAGAATACATCGTTTGTCGCAACCCTTGGATATATCAAATCTTCCCACTGGCAGTTCGTTTGTTTGGAATGCTTAATACAATATATGACAACCGCCTATATTCAAACAGCAGTTTTCTACGCATCCTGAATTTGTATCCCTGGAGTGGATGTTATTTTGGAACATCCAATTGATCCGAGTGAGCTAACTTATTCTTTAGCTATAAACTGTGCCCAAACTATACTCTATACTATACGTTGCGCGCGTTTTTGGTAACTCAATTTATTTCAACAACTTTTAAAATTCAACCATACTAATAACATGAACGTTCAAGGTCTATCATAAAACTGAACTCTGACGTCAGGATCATCGAGTTATTTATATAGCTCGCTTGAACCTTCTAGAACCGTCTCGAACCGTCCAGATGTTTCTTGCCACTGAATGGCATTTCTAGACTATTCTCTCTTCTTTTACTCGTACTTTTACTTGACGACCGCACTGTATGGTGATGGGCGACATTACACTTCTATTTTTATTCGTAAGTTTTCTATAACAGCCGCAGGCTACTGCAGGGTGCAAGGTAACAATATATATTTTGTTAAAAAAGTTTTTTCATGTTTTTTGTGTTTCATTTTTATTTTTATAATTAAAATGGTCTCAAAAGCATTTTTTTTTAATTTTATGTATTAGTGTACAGATTTAAAGTATCACATATATAACGTTTTCGCACATAGCTGACATAGCTCTACAATGTAAAAGATTTTTTTTATTAAATAGTATTTAATATACCTATTTTCAATTATGCCATAAACTAGTCGATAATATAGGAAAATAAATAGGGACTCAATAAAACGTTGTAATACGATAGATACAAACAAAAACAAAATAACAAAATATAAAGACGGCCCTACTGGCTTTATAAGATAGCCCTGACTACCAACAAGTTTTTTTCAAGATCGACTACTATTTACTAGCTATCCGGACATGTCCGTCGGAAATGTCAAAATAATTATTTTTCTGATAAAATCCATCCCTACATTATCGCATAGATGGTGATATCTAAGTTATCATGGTTTAAGATAATTTGTCATAGTATTTAACCCCTAGTTATTAAGTAAAAAATTAATAGTTTTCTCTGTAGAATCTGCAGTTAAAACATACTCATTATTTATTAATCGCCCTGTATAAAAACCAACTTTTACCATTTTGTAGAGCTCTTAAAGAGAAATTCAACGTCACAAACCGCATCTTTCTAATTTAAACGGTTGACGAGATATTTAACTAAAACCCCTATGTTTCTGTTAAAATTCTCCCAAATTCGATCTGAATATCCTATTCTCTGGCCCTATGAACAACTCAGCGGTGATTTGTTAAAAACCGTTTTGTAGAGCTTAAAGAGAAATTCAACGATGCAAACCGCTGCTTCCTAGTTTAAACGGCTTTCGAGATATTTAACAAAAATCCTAATTTTTCTGTTAAAATTCCTCCAAATTCAATCTGAAAATCCTCAACTCAGCTGTGATTTTGTAAAAACCGTTTTGTAAAACTTTAAAAGAAAAATTCAACGCCGCAAACCGTTTATTCCCAGTTTAAACGGTTGTCGATATATTTGACAACAAATGTTTTCGAATAGTTTAATGAATTTTCATGAATTTAACTAAACTGAATGTTTGGCTGTGTATTATGAGTATATTCAAAATTGATACTACGGTCGTTAAAAAAATAATAATTTTAATATTACCAATATGCATTTCCTTTCTGAAAACCATATTCGGTAACGATATTTACAGTTATCGCTAGAATTATGTAAACAAAACATTTCTGCTTAATAAAAGTTTCTTAATATAGCGGTAACCCATTTGAATACAAAACTAAGTTTCTAATGTCTTTTGTGACATTGAACTTTTAGTTTATTATTAATTTAATTTACTGTTTAAAAACTGTACTATTTACTATTTCATTTAATTAGCAATAAAAATGTCAGCATTTAGGAACACATAGTTAAAATATTAATAAGTAGATACTAAGAAAATTGCATTAAATGTCCCATAATTTAATTTTTTTAATACCTATTCTGACCATCTTCACCAATTAACATAAAATATTTATTTTCATATTAAGTACTCCTAAATTTTTTCTTACGCCACTATTAATATCTGGGGCTTGCTGCTAAAACCGTCAAATGATGTTTTGAGAAATGAAACTTTGATATTTAAACACGTGGCTGTTTGCTTTCTATACCCTTGATAGGGTTATTGTCTTTTTATGGTGTTTTGATTTTTAAAATGTCTTATTAGTCTACAAGATTTTTACATAAATTATAAGGCTTTCCAGTGATGATTTATGAGAATCATCAGAAACACCGGCTTATTTATTTAACAGTGAATAAACAATTGAGTTATATTCTTTACGACATATTTTAATTTATTTTCAGAATGATGAAAGTGTTGCAGAAGGCTTAGAAGCAACGGAAAGGCTTCTGGAACAAACTAGTCAACATCGCGAGCAAAGTCTTGATGCTTGTGCGTCGACTATAGCCCAAGGAGAAGCGCTTCTCCAAGAACTGAGGTAAGTTTACCATGTGTTCTGTTATCGCTAGTCCTATACTTATAATGGTTTTGCTATTATCCATCAAGTCACAGAGAATTTGAGAAATTATCGAAAGAAAAATGACAAAATTGTCCAAACAACAGAGATAACAACTCACAACTTGAAACCTTTTGTACTTAACTGGTCTCATGCTATGAACATCACTTACCAATCTACTACCCTTAAATTATGTCTAAGATACAAAACTATATGTGCTCAAATTGAGCTCTGTTCCTTCCTTAATATTCCTTAGATATTTGCCAAGTGGAGCTATTTACTTTTCACAGTCATCATTAGATATATTGACAAATGTATGTAAACTCGATTTAAAGGTGACATTGATGAGCTGTAAATATTTTCAAGTGGACTGACAATATTTTAGATGTAAAATTTCGAACTAACTGGTGTTACTTAATGTTTTTTTCGAACTCCGATCACTTAATTCCACAAAACAAAACATTTGAATATAAAAAGACAACCAATTACGGACAAAGTGCATTTATTAATCCTTATGCAAGAACTATAACAAATTTTACTCGTACTGTGATATATTTAATTGTAATATTTTGGCGCTGAAAAGGGACTTGCAACTCCTGAATGTCTTAAGTTTTACTTGTATCGTCCCGCGGTGTTGTGTTATTCTTCCTTTTTTTTTTATATTTTATGTATTTTTTTTTTATTTTTTTGTATTGTTTTTAACTCCTACAATTGTTTGTGTTAGGTTGGAATTTTAAATTCTGTAAGTGCTACATAAATAAATAAAAATAAAATTTCACCTCGAGACATAGAATCGACAAAAATAGACACAAAATATTTATCCTCTTAGCCATCGATATTTCATATCCACTTTTACTTCTTCCTGCTAATTTATATTTATAATTTGTCCTACATTGTCCTTTTCTTAGTTCTACATTTGATAAGTCTTCTATACATCTTTATATAAACTTTTTTATTTTATTTGTATTCTTTTCTATTGTAATTCAGGTCTATTGCGGATATGGACACAACTGGTTCAGTAGCAGCCATTGAATCAGCCCTGGATCGCTTAGCCAAACAAAGAAACGATTTGGAAGAACTCTGGGCAGCTAGAAAACTTCGTCTCGACCTCTGCCTCAGGTTAAGACTCTTCGAAAGGGACGCTTTGGAGGTTTCCTCGCAGCTAGAAATGTGGTCCGAAGAGCTACAGCACAGCGAACTGACTGGAGACATACCTAAGGCCGAACAATTTTTGAGGTTGCACAACGAAAGCGTCAGTCAGATGCAGAATACTACGTATCAGGTCTTGCAGCAGGGACAGGATTTGGTGCAGGTGTTCGAAAATTCGGGGATTTGCGTTATGGCTGATGCTCAATACAATGCTCAGACAAGGGTAAGAGACAATTCTTATTTTATTTTTATAAAAAGTCGTCTATTAATTGGTGACTCAATCTCGTTATTAATTATTTTTAATCCAAATCATTTAAATTATCATTTTACTGTGGAATGTGTCTAATCTACATAAGAGAGGTAAGATACTAATAAAAATGTTTTTACCATGAAGTCACTTTTTTAAACATTTTGCCCATATCATGTTCTCAAAAAATACTTTTTATCTATTCTACTTAAAAATACAATAACACTGAATAATTTTTTTGAAATTTATGATGTTAATAATAATTAATAAACAAAACATTTTATTTCAGTTAATTATTGGAAGTTATTAATAATCATTTATTAACAGTGATTTTTAAGTATGTTGCTTACTTTAGTGCTCTTTCAACTCTTATTATAACAGTGCATTGTCTGTCCATGATTACATCTGATTATAAAGAGAAAGTATAAAGTAAATGTACTCTTATTAATTACAGTTTTGAACAGTTAGTGATTAGTTTGTTAAATCATTGACTAAATAATAATAATAACAGAGATGTGTTGTTATGAATAATTGGAAACTACTAAGCGGCTTTGTTGTCCATTATGGTTATTTCAAGACGAAGGTAACTTAAACCGTGAATAAACAATATAATTAATTATTTTTTGAAAACTTCTCAAGGTCCACAAGCAGGGCCGACTAGAGGGGGGGGGGGCAGCCGGGACTAATTCCCGGGACTCGGGCTCAAATGGGGACCCGGCAGCGGTATAAGGGGGGCCCGGCAGCGGTATAAGGGGGACCCGGCAGCGGTATAAGGGGGACCCGGCAGCGGTGGAGAGAATTTTTTTGTTACTTTCAGAAGTTCGACGCACGAGGGGGGAAGTTCTTAGTTGAAGACTTTTTTTAGAGAAATTCAAGTAGATGAGGAGAAATCTTTAAATTTTTCCTTCAAGTAGAGGAGGAGAAATTTTTGCCTCAAGACTTTTTTTTTTAGAGAAATTCAAGTAAAGGGGCCCGATCTTGAGAATTGTCCTGGGGCCCGGTCTGGCTCTCGGCGGCCTTGTCCACAAGGCAGGACCTCGTAAGTCTTAAATTCAAAAATTTCCAGGAGCTGAAACAAAACGATTCACAAGTGCATTTAACAATCCATTTTACTCTACAATAAAACAAATATTTGTTCATTAATTTTAATACTCTCCCTTTACAGTAGATGGAGCGAAATTTTTTAAACGAGATTATCATAAAATATAATTTTCAGTGGAAATGTTAGTTACAAAGTCCTGCGTTGTGGCCCTCGTTATATGAATAAGTTTGAAATGGGTCAATATCAAAATGGATACATGACGATCATAAAAGCCCCATATATCATACAAGTGTGATGTTTCAAGCACGAGTCCTCAGTGTTGGCATAATGTTTCCGTGATAATTGAAATATTACTAACGGTTGTTACAATTATTAACAACAATTAAGGAAGAAGGGAGAGAAAATCAGTTACGATCCGAAAACGAAGGTATGACAATTTGGAAATCTAAAAATGATCACACTAATTTCGCCTACGAATCTTAGGTATTCATTCTCACAACCCCAAGGTAAAAACAAAAGAAAAATTCAAAAAGATGAATTGGAAAAATGTACCCTTGTCAGGAATCGAACCCGGAGGCACGAATTTAATCCTCACTGCATTACCAATTGGGTCACCGGAGCTACAATAACCAAATTAACAATACATCGGATTTCTGAGAGTATTAATATGAATTTTTGTTACAAATTAGGTCAAAAGCTTGTTATTAAAAAACAAAATGTTATTTGCTATCTTTTACTATGATGTGCGTTATTTTCATAGCACACACCTGCGTTTTGTTTTCATACCTACTGTCTTAAATTGTTATCTGTACTTTTTAAGGAGCTTTTGGAAATACATCATTGTAGTACATTTATGATATTTAGGGTCAGTGTACATATAACCTAAAATTGATTTATTTTATTTTGATATTGACCCTTCTTAAGCTCATCTCTAGGTTGAAGCAAAAAAAAACAATTGAACATCGTATATATTAGATCAAAGTTAAATTTAATATGAGTGGGAGAATTATGTCACCTTCCACTTCAACCCATCACAGGAACTACTAAACCCCATATCCAATTTTAAACCTACAAAGTACATCTCATATCCATGATTGTACATGGCGAGACTTAATGATCCCCAGGTGGATGAATGGAATATGTACATTCTTGACTGGTTTAAGGATACTTTGTTTTTTTATAGGTTCAAGTATTACTTGAATTCCTTCACGACAGAGAAATGGATCTGGAAGAACTGGCAGAACTGAAACGTGTTAAACTCGAACAATGTATCCAACTGGGTCAGTTCCAAAACAACGCAAACCAAGTGATAAGTTGGATCAGAAACGGCGAATCAATGCTGATGGCTAGTTTCACTATACCCAATAGTTTGGCGGATGCCGAGCTTCTCAAAAAAGAACACGAACAGTTTCAAGTTGCAATAGAAAAAACGCATACATCAGGTAAATACGATATTGATACGGTTTCATTTTAACAAACAGGGCATTCGTTGAAAATACATGCCTTTTTCAAAACCTTTGTATAGGTCAATTTTTATTTTAAAATGCAATGCTTTTACTCGAATTTTTTTTCACTATTTATAGAATGTTCTGTTTTAATTCGAGGGTTTTCGTCTATTCTTAATAATAATGTCATTTTTTACCAACTAATCCTAACTATTCAATTGTTTGTAATTCTAGCTGTACAAGCAAAGCACCGTGCCGATACCCTAATAAATGGTAACCATTATGACCCACAAAGCATCAAAGACATTTCCGAAGAAGTAACCAAAAGGTGGCAGCAGTTGGTGACTTGTGCTGAGGAAAGGCACAAATTAGTTACAGCAAGTTTGAATTTTTACAAAACTGCAGAACAGGTATGTTTCATTTTTGTAAAACCAAAGACTTGTTCATAAAATATTATATTAAATCATGAATATGTGAAATAATATCGGATATTTATCAACACTATTTTGGTTAATAGAAAACCTTCTTACTGATAATATTTTTTATATATTTTCAATTATCTACGTGTTTCCTTGGTCCTTATAATATTTTTGGAAGTTCATCTGCTGGTATTCAGCCGATCTGTTAAGGCTACAGCTTGTAGTGTGCCAGCGATTCTGTACCGTACCTCATAACTAATATTTTCATGATATACGAAGATTGTTCGATAACTACTTGGCCCACTGATCTGTCAGATCAGTGACTTGGCCTAACAAAAAACTTTATATTTTTCAATATAGTCTCTTGCTCAGTCAACACACTTATTTCAATAATATTCTAAATCAGCAATATCGTTATTGTAGGTTGATGAATCCAAGTCCTCGAAATAGTTATTTACAGAAATTAGATGAAAATCTCGTACCGTTAAGCCATTTTTTCAGGTTTGGAAACATGATAATCGCTGGGAGCCATATGTGGGAATCAGGCGAATAAGGCACTAAATCAAATCACAATTCATGAATTTTGGCCAATGCAATCGCCAGACAGGTGCGTTATCCTGATGGAAAGGCACTATCGCCTTTATGAAATGTGGTTGTTTCACTTTAATTTTGTCTCTAGGTTGTTGCAATAAATACGCAATTTTAGTGATGATGTAATTATGGTTCCACTGACAATTAAAGTGACAGTAGATTTTTTGAGTGAGTTTTGTTCGTTTTGTTTACCTAAATTATATCGTTTTTTCACTTTTATAAATATATTCCTAAAGTAAGTAGATAACATGCATCAAATATACAATTGTTTAGTTACCAATTACACATGGTATAAAAAGTAAAAGGTAGGATATCAACTTTATTTAAAATAGAACGGCTACGCGCATGACGTCACGCGTAGAGTTTGTATAGGCGCGAATTTAAAAATACCGACGAAGTGTGAGGAAAATATATGTTATTTACAGAAATTTGATGAATATTAAAGGCTAGTATTTTAATAATTAGTTGAAATATCTAAGGATATTATTATGTGAAAGAGCTATAAAGGAAAATAAATGCAAATACATAAAAGAAATATTTATTATAAGGAACAGTTTTTTTTTTCTTTGGAATAGTTTTTATATTCAGGATAATGAGAAGGGTATATTCACAATTCGGAACTTGTTAACTTGGGAACCTGGGTAAAAATTTTGAATCTGGAGACGCCGGAAATATTTAACTGATTGGGATTTGCAACAGTTGACTTATTAACCTGCATTATATTTCCCAATTGAATATACTTAACTACTTATTTTATGGAAAATATGGGATTTATGTATAAGTACGATACCAAAAATGGTTTTTTATATATATAACGCAGAACATAAAAATACAATTAACTGCTACATGGTGAGTGTTTATAAAAAAGTAAAATAAAATGTCGCTGTATTTTTCCTGGACATAGTCATTGACAGGTTTTTAATTCTTCAATCAAGTATAACATGTGAAAGTTTTCCTTTTTTGCGACATATACAATTTCACCTTTGTTGTACATTGCGAAATTGTCAGACAAGGGAAGAGTCTCTAGCTAAAAAGTCCCAAGTTGCGAATGAACCAACGTGAAGTTCTGCTTTGAGGTCCCTCTTATAATTGGAAGGTTAAACATGCTTGGAACACACATGACAATATTATTATTTAAATTTATCTGCACGTCCACAGGTCACTGAAAAGGTGGCTCCAGGTCGAATTTTCGAGGAGGGGTAGCATTGCCTAAGACAATTCCCTTTTTAGCATATTTTTTCAAAAAAAGGTTCCTGGAATATAACAATTTCAATACAAAACGGACGTGGTCCCCTGGGACCCCCACGAGAGTCGCCTTTGGGTCACTTCTGACTAACCTCTTACTGTCCAACATCGTCCTCTTTAAGTCGTTTGCGTTTATTATTACTGTTAGATCCGTAAATTGCGTACCACATTTTTTGATTGTGTTTTACTAATATTACTTACATATAATTAAGTTAACAACATAATATAATACAAATATCAGCCTAAAATGTTATAAATTATTATAAACGACTTACAAACTACTGCAACGTGTATCTGTCTATGACATTTACTTCGCGCCAATTCTACTAACTCTACGCATGACGTCAGCGCCGCCATGACACCATGCGCGATATCTCCCCCTGCCAATTACATACCTTTAAACTATTTTTTATGACCTGCAAACAATATTTAGAAAAAACTTAAAACAGTAATAACGTATATGTCAAATTTATTGATGTTTTTATTAAAATTTTGGTTAGAATTAATTGTCAGTGGAACCAAAATGACATCACACCCCGGTAAATGATACTTTACAGGTGTTTGAACTCTTTTTAAAATATGGCACCAAAAACTGCATATTATATAAAAATCCATCAGATGTCTGTAAAAGGTGAAGTACCTCAAATGAAAACAAATAATGACTGCGAACTCTCAGAAAAATTCAGTTAATTTTATCTTTATTCAGTAAAAAATACGTCTGTATCAATTTTTTTTTAAATAATGGTAATTTATTAATGTCTACTAATCGTACTCTTAGGAACAAATGAAATGGAAAGTGAAAACGAGAAGAAAAATACTATACCACATACTTATAATAACCCAGGCAGCACACTTTGGTATAAATTACGTTTTTCTTTTAGGTACTACCATACGTATGAATACGGTTGATGTACTACCAAATATATTCGTAAAAATGTCCGCCTCTTAAACGTGGATTACTAAGAATTTATCCACCTATAATTAAACGTTTTTACTATACGTCTATATTAGATTTATAGTTGTAGTATATTTATACGAATCCACTTTGATATAAAAGACGTTTTTTTATGTACTACAATATACGTATGGATACCGTTGATATGCTATCCAATATATACGTGAAAATGTCCGCCCTATAAACTTTTATTTTTTATACGTCTAACATTACTACTTTATCTACCTTTTATTATTCTGTTTTACTATACGTCTATATTAGATTTATCTTATTTTATTAATGTGTAAAATGCGTCTACCTGATATTGTTTTAAATGTATTTCAAACACAAATTAAATAAACTGATCAAAACAAAATTTCTAAAAGAGGCCATGAAAAAATGTTAATATTTCTTAAATGACAGTTTGGATTTCATCCGTAGCAGGTGTGTATACACTAGAAATAGGTATTACTCGTGTTTCTATTTTGGTTGTAATTGGCGTAAATATTTAGGAAATTTTTTTGATCACTTGTTATATGTACAGAACAATATTTTATTAAAAAATAAATAAATAAAATACTAAAAAATAAATAAGTACTAAAAAATAAACACTAAAATACTGAATAACAAACTAAACGAAACTTTTCTTTAATTAACAAAAAATATATATGAAAATTAAAATCTTAGCTTAACACTTTGGATGTGTTGTGTCCTAGATAGGCCTTAGCTAACTTAAGCCAATCTTGCATAGCACTTCTAATCGTTCGGTCGGTTAAGTCTCTTGGTTCATCCCCATTCCTATAACCAAAATGTAACTGCATTTTAGGTGAAATATTTTCTAAAAGCTCTAAAGTTAAATTTGTATTATTTTCTAGGAAATTATTATAAATAATAGAATCAGATGATATATTAATGTCCGAAGCCTTATTAATGTTATCTTCATTGGGAAAAAAAATTTATTTGACTTTAAAGCATCTTGAACATTTTGGGCTATTTTTCTTAGTAGATGACGCCGAGACAGGGTTATTTTAGACATTTTATTAAATAAAAAACAACTGACCAAAACAAAGGAAAATAAGTATGCTTGGAATAACTAGGTAGCCTAAAAAATACGTATAGAAATACGTATAAAAATAAGAGAAACAAAAGTAAGGTTATATTTCGGAGTTTCTATAAGCATTTTACACACTGTAATAAAACAGTAGTTGTTGTAAAATGCAACAATTATTAAACGAGTAGCTAAATTAAAACATTAATAGAAACTTACCTATGCTTTTAACCAATATCGTAAAAGCCAGGACGCCAAAGCAACATGCAATGCAACTGGGCACAACAACAATACCAACAATTTTACAAGAACTTTTTATTACATAAAAAATAATTATCGTGATTAGCAACTAGTTAACAGAAATATAACTTATAATAGCGTGAATTGTCTGATTGATAACAGGCGCTTCACAGCCACCAGCCACCATCAGTCAGCTGATTCCCGATCGTCTGCCGGTACCTTACTCCCCTCTCGATTCTCTGCACTACGCGCACTTTGGACCAGCCCGACTTAGTTTAAAGCACACCCCGAATCTCACTCACTGAAACGACAGGGACTAGTCCACCCCACCATGGTTATTGGCGGGTTATTTAAATGTTCGGGTGTTTGAAATCGGTACAATGGGGAATTTGTTATAAATATTACAGGTAATATAATTAAAAAAATATGGTGTAATGTAAATAAATATATCTATAAACTTTTGATTTAAATAAACCTAAACGTATATTTAGGCCCACTGTATATAAATAGTTCATCGCAAACTTAAAATAGTCGTATATTGTTAACTACATTTAAACGTAGAAAAATTTACAATTATATACCATAGGATGTATACAAAAAACGTATAATATATCTTTTAAAATACGGCATGTATAATAACTGTAAACGTATACGGAATCAACCAATACCAAATTTAAACGAGTATCACGTATAAAATACGTTTGTTATACTAATGTGTGCTGCCTGGGAATAACCACCCATATAGGTATTTCATCAAAACAAAGTTAGAAAACTATTTTTCATCATTTTTAGTATATAAGACAACAATAATTAAATAAGGAAAATAGTGTGTATTCTTTCCTACAAAATGTAATTATTGTTGAAATGGATTTTGAAAAAATAAGTGTTAAGTGCCATTTTGATGTTATGTTTATAGAAGAGTAGGTATTAAAAAATTATAACTGCCACATTTTAGATAATTAATAAACACACTCCAAAGATACATATCGTTTTTTGTTTTTATATGGGATTTTAGGGAAGTTGAAACACCTATTGTCTTTCATCGTGCATCACACTAAACTGGCGTATTGGTGACTCCCCATTTGTTTTGCCCTTTTCTAAGTAGCCAATCAAGATAGTTCCATGAGAAATCCAAAACACAGTTGCCATAACCTTGCCTGCTGACAAAACCGTTTCTATGCTGTATTTTACCGATTTATTAGCTTCATTACGGTCCATTTTATACATATTTATTTTTTCAATGGAATAAAAAAAATTCAAATATTTTTACATACTTGTATTCATCATTTATAATTCTTATAGGTTTGCTCCGTCTTAGACAGCTTGGAGAGAGAATACAGACGAGATGAAGATTGGTGCGCGACAGGTCAAGCCAACGTCGACAAGGCTACCGCAATATCTCAACTAATCAACAAACACCAAGAGCAGAAAGAAGCCTTTTTAAAGGCTTGCACGTTAGCGCGACGGACGGCCGAAACATTTTTGAAATACACCACTAGGAGCTTGCAGTTTTACAACTATACGAACACGACTGGAAACCATGAGTCGAGAGTTAAAGGTATTCTAGAGAAGTTGTTGAACCAAGAAAACAAGGTGCTGGAACATTGGACTCAAAGAAAGAAGAAGTTGGATCAGTGCCAGCAGTTTGTGTTGTTCGAGAGATCTGCCAAACAAGCTATTGAATGGATCCATGACACAGGTAGGTTCCGTTTTATTAGTAAAAAGTACAAGGTGCAAGTGTCGTCATAGTTAGTGCTAGATTGTTAATTTGATGGTGGGAATTTAAATATATTTGTAGATTGTACAAAAAAAAAATGTCCAGTTTATTTGCGTCCAACTAAAGTCCTTTGTTATTTTTTTTAAAACATACCTTACTTTCAAAACAATTTTATCCTAAATTTTATAAGTAAAGTATAATTGAAGTATACTCTACCTATTTCAGCTGGTTTTTCTTCCACTTCCACTACTTATTCATTGAAGCTTGATTACCATCAGTTTTATCATCTACTTAATTCCACTCGTATTCAATTTTTGATCTTTTTTTACTTGAAAGAACGGGAATAAAGTCCTTGTCTTGATCGTATTCATGTGATTCTTCATATCCTTCGCCACTGCTGCCAGTCTCTATTATAAACTCTGGGACCTCATCACTATCACTGACATGTTCATATTCACTCTTAACAAAAGGCAATATAAAAGAAATATAATCAGAAAAACCCCATTTACTATACTTGCCGAATGTTTCTGAACAGGAACAGAACAAAATTATAGAAATTACGGTTGTTTCTAATAAGGAACATTCATTTTTGGCATTATTAAAGTATTCTACAAAATTCTTTAATTTGTAATACATTCTACTTATACTAAATACAACTCTACCAATAAGATACAAATTTTTATACAGTGTGTGCCATAAAGTTGTATTCATATGGGATTTTTTTTAATATTATGATTGGAAAAAACGTTGTAGGTCATTCACCTCTGCTTATTTAAGAGGGTTCTATATCCATCAGCTCAGTCAATTTCATACATAACCTCGAAATCCACGTCCCTTACGTCTTCACCATAATCCCCCCCTTTAAAGAAATTGTTAGGCTGACTGAAATACATTTATGTGTATTTGTGGTTGCATAGTCTACCAATTATCGGATAAGAACATCAAGACATAGCATTTTCGGCCGTTGATGACTGACAAAATTAGATTTCTATATATACAACCGGTTTTTTTCTTTAATAAGTTTAACACGGTTTCTAGTTTTTTGAGCTTATTTTGTTTATAATTACTTTTTATGAACACTTTATTCTATAGCCTTCACACATTCATAATGATAACTTCTTACTTGACTTGGATGTAGAAAAAATCGTAGTAAAAAGTTCTAAGTTAATTTTTTGAGCATGTCACCCTCCATCTATCCCTAGGGAATGGTGTGGGTAATATTTTTATAAAGTACGTAAATCAGAGCTATGTAGTCAATACAAAGTGACCATGGCCTGGGTACCAGCCTACGAAGGATATCAGGGCAACGAAAAGACTGACGAACTAGCCCGAGAAGGTTCAGATAAGGCCATGGCGGACCCCGAACTCTTCTGTGGAGTTGCTAAAGCATTGTGCAAGACATCCATCAAACAATGGATGCATATTCCTACGGTTTTATTTAAAAAGTTTTAACTTCATTTTTTTAACATGTCACTTCCTCCATCTCCCGCCAGAGGAACCTGGAACTAAGATTTTTTGTTTATCTAATTTTGATGTTTATGAGAAAGTACATTTATATACCAAGTTTGGCCTTAATATCTACCCAAACTGTCCTATTCCCAAGAGCGAATTCCAACAGTAGCTCCATTCTTTAAATACTCAACCAAAATTATCCCTTCAGCATCTGATAAAGGAAACACTTTGTTTTCGAGTTGGAGGAGACTCCCTATGTTTCTACTCTTTACTCTGCACCTGTATCAGAATCCTAATGGTGGACACACATGAATCATCCTTAGTAACACTTTTGTAGATACTAATTAAATAGCTCAATAAATGAATATGAAACTGGTTGACAAACTTTATTTAATGAACGAAATACAAACTCGACTTAACAACGTTACAACATGGACGCTACTTGACTACTAAACTTAACCTTGATGCTTAACAGTGTTGCCATACTTGAATATGAAGTGTTCATACCAACACCCTCCTACAATTCTGTGAAAGTGGCAACACCGAGACAATGTCTAAACTGTTTAAATTTTGAACTAGGCAACGCCTTGGTGAATATATCAGCTTGCTGATTTTCAGTTGATACATATTTCAAAATAAACTTTCCTTCATTTACATAATCTCTTACAAAGTGATGCTTTACATCTATATGCTTAGTTCTCTTATTTTCGAGAGTTGAAGCCATTTTGATACAAGATTGATTATCTTCATAAACAGTTATAGGAGAAATATTTAAACTTAAGATTTCAACTAAAAGTTGTTCAAAGAATAAACATTCACTCATGCATATAGACAAAGCTACATATTCGGACTCTGTACTAGATAGAGCCACTCTATTTTGTTTTTTACTTTTCCAATATATACTATTATTATTCATTTTTAACACAAAACCAGATATGCTTTTTCGATCATGAATATTATTGGCAAAATCTGAGTCAACATAGGTCTCTAATTGAATGTTAGATGGTAAACTATTTTTAGAAAATACTAGACCATGTTTTTCAGTTTCTTTTAAATAACGCAAAACACCTTTTAAATGATTCCAGTGTTTAATACCAAAACAATTTTGAAATTGACTATAGAAAGCAACTGAAAAACTCAGATCAGGTCTTGTGCCTAACATAATATACATTAGACATCCAATTAGTTCCCTGTAAGGTAAGTTCTCCACAATTTCATTATTTTTATTTAACTGTAATTTAGGTTGCATCGGAATTGAAGTGGGTTTACAATTTAGCATATTAAATCGTTGTAAAACCTTTCTAATCAAAATACTTTGAGAAATAAACAATTTATCATTCAACTTATGTATCTCTAAACCTAAAAAAGTTATATTTTTATTTTTAAATTCTGTCATTTTAAAAGTTTTAGATAACAACAATTTCACATCATTTAATGCCTCAATACTTTTAGAAAAAATAATAATATCATCAACATAAATTAACAAAAAAGTTATACTTGTAAAGTATAAACATGGGTCCTTTTTGGAACGTTGAAATCCTAATTGTAATAAGGTGTTATTAAATAATGAATTCCAACATTTTGGAGACTGTTTTAGGCCATACAGTGCCTTTTTAAGTTTACATACAAGTTTTTTATTTGAGGATTCAAGGCCTTCTGGTTGTTTCATGTAAACAGGGTCTTTCAATGTTCCATTTAGGAATGCTGATTTTACATCAAGTTGTTGTACATACATGTCTCTAGAAATATACAAAGATAAAAGCACTCTTATCGTAGCCATACGTGCTACTGGTGCATACACATCTTCTACGAGTGACCACTGCTGAAAACCGCGTGCCACTAAACGAGCTTTCTTTAGCGCACTACCGTTCACTTCTTTTTCACGAAACACCCACTTAGAATCTATTATTTCTGCATTTTCAGGTGGTTTTACGAGTTCCCAGGTTTCATTTTCTTCTAATGAAGACAGTTCCTCTTGTACTGCCCTTTTCCAATTAGTATCCAGAGAAATTGCCTCGGTATATGTTGTAGGAACATCTGAAAGCATTTTCTCTGCAGAAAGAGCTGCAAACATGTTCATATCATTATCAAGTTCATAATCATTGAGATAGCTTGGTAATTTCCTATTTCTTGATCTTTTCTTGGTAACTTCGTTTTCTTGAATATTATTTATATCTTCATTTTCTTCTTGTATTTCATTTTTATCTATTTTCTCTTGCTGAAAACTATCTTCAATTGCATCTATTATAATTGTACTGTCGGTTGGCTTTTGATTCTCTTCAAAAATTACATCATGTCCAATAACTATTTTTCCACTTGTGAAATTCCATAATCTATAACCGTTATTATCATATCCCATCATTAACATTTTTTCACTGCGGGATTCTAATTTTCCTATTCGCTTTTCTTTTGGAACATGACAATAAGCGACACAACCAAAAACTCTTATTTTTTCTAAGTTTGGTTTTGTATTGAACCATATTTCAGCAGGAGTTTTATTATTTGGTAGGACTGAGGTTCTTGTTCGATTTAGTAAGTAAACAGCTGTTCTGACAGCTTCTCCCCAAAACTTCTTTTCTAAATTTCCATCAAAGAGTAGACATCTGGCTTTTTCTAAAATTGTACGGTTAAGCCTTTCAGCAACACCATTTTGCTGAGGGTTATATGGCACTGTGTATTCCACGTTAATTCCTCTTTCACTACAAAACTTTTTAAATTCTTTGGATGTATATTCAGCTCCATTGTCACATCTCAATCTCTCAATTTTTCTTTCAAATTTTGCTTCCACTAATTTAACATAACTTTTGAACTTTTCTAATAATTCACTTTTTGTTTCCATTAAATAGCATGCAGAAAAATGTGAGAAATGATCAATAAATGTAGCAACATATTTTTTATTATCATATGTGCATGGACCTATTGGCCCACATATGTCACTTGATATTACTTCTAAAACTCTTTTTGGTTTTCTTTCATCAGGGAGTTGTTTGAATACCTTTTTCGTTTGTTTTGCTTTAACACATACTTCACATAAACTTGGGGATGGATAGTGTGAAGAGTGTCCCATTCGTCTATGCCACAGTTCTTTTTCAGACAAAGTTCCTAGGTTTATTGAGTCCTGTTGTAAAAGCACTTCCAACACATACAGGTTTCCAAATAAATTTCCTTGGGCAATATTGTTTTTACCCTTGTAAATTATTACTTGCTGTCCCTCAAATTTCACACCTAATCCTTTTTCTTGAAGCTTTTTGACTGACAGAAGATTTTGTGATAAATTTTCACATTCCATAACTCCTTCAATAGTTACTGATTTTCCTTCTGTTGTCATTACACATAAGTTACCTTGGGTAAAATTTGAATATACACAAAACTTTTATATTTTCACAAAAATGTATTTTTACACTTTTAGACACCAAGAATAACATATACTTATCGAAATTTGTTGGCGGAAACCTAAAGAAATCCTACTTTTTTAAATTTTAATAATGATATTTTAGGCTATTTTATTAATTCAATAAATTTATTTTGGT